ACTACTTAATTTAACAATGCTTTCCTCTATTAAACAGACTCTTAAATCGTATTCTAATTTTGAGTAGATTGTCAATAGCCCCTTTTATTTTTTATTTAGAGTTAGGGTCTTGCTAAGTTTCTGAGGCTGGCTTTGAACTTGTGATACTTCTGCCTAAGCCTCCTGAGCTGCTAGAATTATAAGCATGCACCACTGTGCCCAACAGTCTCTTATGTGATATGTTAATGTTTCTGATTTGATTGAAAACTAGGAATAGTCTATACCTTCAATAAACCAGAACATAAAGTTTAAAAAACTTACTGGCTAATGTGTAAGATGTCAAATACATAGTTGCTAAAAACAAGTGTTTTAAAAATAAACAATAAACTCTGGTTTTAAGAATTAATTTTCAAATAGGGCTTTTCTGGGGGGTGTGGGGGGTTAGGGATCAAATCCAGAGGCTCCAGGCAAATGCACTACCACTGAGCTACACTGACAACCCTAAAAATAGAGGCTCTTATATAAGTGAGTCACCCTTTTATCATAAAAGGTAGAGCATCTAAAATCATACAGATTTTAAAAATAACTTCATCCTTGAAAGCCACTTTAATTATGGAATGCCTGACATTTTGTTTGTCCTACATACTTTTAATTGATACCATTTAACTTTCTTTACACTTGATACATCCTCCTATATCCTTACATATCAACATAGATCTCTAGCTATATTATATATGTATATATATTACATATGGTTGTAGAGTATTCCATTTGTGGTAGATACTCCACAATTAATAAAAAAATACTCAAGAAGTGATTATTACATGCCAGGCACTATTCTAAGCATCATGTATTAACTTATCTAGTTTTCATAACAACTTTATGAGGTGTAGGTACTATTATGTTTTATACATATCAGCAAGAGATGTTAAATAACTTGCCTAAAGTTACAATTAAGAAGCTGCAGAGTAGAAGTTCTAAAGCAGGCATCTAAGGAGTCATCTTCAATCAATATTTTTGTTTTTTTTTTAAATAGTTATTTTTTAGTTGTAGTTGGACACAATACCTTTATTTATTTATTTTTAAGTGGTGCTGAGGATCGAACCCAGGGTCTCACACATGCTAGGCAAGCGCTCTACCGCTGAGCCACAACCCCAGCCCCTTCAGTCAATGTTTTTAACCACTAGGTGAGTGCCACTAAGTATGTGCCCTATCAGGATTGATGGGTCCCTCTGTATGAAAGGCTGGTTCCTTTTGCCTGATACTGATACACCAAATGCTCTTTTCCCAGATCTCACATTGCTGTATTCGTCTTGTCATTCAAGTCTCATCTTTTTTTTTTATAATAATCTTTTTTTTTATAAGAGAGAGAGAGAGAGAGAGAGAGAGAGAGAGAGAGAGAGAAAGAGAATATTTTAATATTTATTTTTTAGTTTTCAGCGGACACAACTTCTTTGTTTGTATGTGGTGCTGAGGATCGAACCCGGGCTGCACGCATGCCAGGAGAGCACGCTACCGCTTGAGCCACATCCCCAGCCCTCAGGTCTCATCTTAACATCACTTCCTCAGAGGGGCCTTTCTGACCACTTAATACAGTAACTCCGCAGTTAGTTTTGATCACAGTTTCCAATTAAATTTTCATCACAGAACTTATAATTGCTCTATAAATAACTGCTGATGGACATTCATTGGGGTATCATTGTAGAATTCCTCTTCAGTCAAATGAACTTTTTCCAAACAACATGAACGAAGTAGAAAAATGCATAAATTGTTGAATCCTATTGTTTTACCTATATTTAACCATACTTGAGAAGTCTACATGTTGTTTCTAATCTTTCATTACTGTGAATCTTTGAGGGTGTACCTTATTGCTTTCTTTTAATTACTGGAAGGTAAAAGGATATGGTGGATTTTTGTTTGTGTTTTTCTGAGACAGGGCCTCAGTAAATTGCTAAGGCTGGCCTCAAGTTTGCAATCCTCCTGATTCAGCCTCCTGAGTAGCTAGGATTACAGGCATGCCCCAAAGGATGTTTTGAAGACTTTTGATATATATTATTGTTAGAGTCTGTAAACAAGTCAAAATAACACCTGGCATTTTGCCAGGGGAATGTTAGAGTTCGTAAACAAGTCTGGATGGTGCCTGGCAAAATGCCAGAGGGAGTGGTTTGAGAAGTAACAAAAGCAAGCCATTAAGTGTGGAGATTCCTGATTGGTTGACTGATGTATCTAGTTTATGCTAATTAGATAAGCTGTGTGGAATGTATAAATACTGCTCCTGTCCTGCAATAAACGGCTCCTACTCCTGCTGTATCAAGTACACAAGTTCTTCGTCACCCCCCCCCCCCCCCCGACTAGTTTGCTGCAGCCGGACTGCGGCATATTATGGCCCTTCAAAATGGCTGTTCAATTTATTAACAAAGGATTGAAATATTCATCTTACCATACTTGCTCCAACATCCTGTATACAGTTCTTTTAAGTCTTTACCAAATTTCACAGACAAAACAGACAATATATTGTATGTAACATATGTCAATATATGTAGACTTCTTAAATATGGTTAAATATAGGTAAAACAATAGGATTCAACAAGTTATGTATTTTTCTACTTCATTCATGTTATTTGGACAGAGTTCATTTAACTGAAGAATAGTTCTACAATAATACACCAATGAATGGCATACAAAAACCTGAACTGCATACAGTGAATTACCATAAGGTTAATGGATACAAATGGAGGGCTAAAGAAGAGTCCATAACGAGCTGCATTATACAGGAATTTACTAACTGTGTGGCATATGGCTGTGGGGTTTTATTGTTTTCAATACTTATTTTTAAAAAAAATATTTTTAGTTAAACATGGACATAATATCTTTTTTAAAAAATATTTTAGTTGTAGTTGGACACAATACTTTTATTTTGTTTATTTATTTTTTGTGGCATTGGGGATCGAACCCAGTGCCTCACATGTGTGAGGCCAGTGCTCTGCCACTGAACCACAACCCCAGCTCTTGTTTTCAATACTTTTAAAAATAGGTTAATACACAAGTTCTTTGGGTTGTTGTTAGCATACTTTCTAATACAGACTCAAGACAAGGCAGGCCTACTGATTATTAAAAGAAAGGGCTAAGCCTGGAGTCTATCCTACTCATTCTCTCAGAAGCAGGATCAGAGTAAGATGAGGCTGGGGAAGAAAGACAGCTACTACTTCTGCTTGTCTCAAAACAACCCATGAATCATGTAGGTGTAAGGAAACTATAAGATTGGCATGAAGGAAAAGATGAGAAAGAAGCAACCCTATCTAGAAAACAGAATATACTTTTAAGATGTAACAATGAATCTCTGGACTAATAAAGGGAAGTGTCAAAAATATTTGAGCCAAATGGGTTCTTGATGTATGACCTACTCCACTCCATTTTCTTTGGGGTTTTATTTCCTTTGGGGCCTTTATCCCTTCTACTAATTGGGAGAGGGCAGGGAAGGAGGAAGAATTAGCTATGTGGGTTATTAAGAGTATCTGTATTGTGGTATCAGTGGTAAGTTCTTTTATAAGGTATTTTGCCAGAACAAAGACTGTATTAACATTGTCTTACAACTGAACAAATAGTTCTCCTTCTCCTTAAAAGGTGGTTTCTGAACCTATTTTACAGGAATAAAGATTTTTCAAAAATTAATCACAGTATTTTATAGGTATGCTTCCTTCACCAACTCTAACATCTATACCACCACTAGGGAAATGCCCAAAATTATGATGGATCAAATTCCTAAACTCCTAATATTAAGATGAACTTTTTTGAACGTGGTTTTCTAGAAGAAAGCAGGATCTCTAGCTGTAAGAACAGATGCAGAAGGTTGTAAGTTGAATGAGGATGAACCGTAGGCTCAAGATTGAGGTGAACAGCAAAAACCATAGAGATTCTAAAGAGATGACTGGAGGCCTTGGGACTGAAAGAAGGGGACTTAATGCCCAGAGGACTTGTTTCAATAAAGTAGCAGTGCTTTTATGTTTTAGGGTTTTATGTAAGATTTCTTTAAAAAAAAAAAAAGAGTTCTATAGCTGCTTTATAAAGTGCTGAAAATCTGAGTCATACTATCATCCTTATTGTAAAATCAGGAGTTGAGCTGGGTGTGATGGCTCATGCCTGTAATCCCAGTGACTAGGGAAGCTCAGGTAGGAAGATCTCAAGTTTGATATCAGCCTCAGCAATTCAGTCAGACTCTCAGCAAATTAGTGGAACCCTCCCTCCAGGTAAAAGATTTTATAAAGGGCTGAGGATGTAGTTCAGTGATAAAGTGCCCTGGGGTTCAATCCCTTGTACCAAAAAAAAAAAAAAAAAAAAAATCAGGAGTTGAAGCCGATAAAAGTGAAATTACTCACTGAAGGTTATAGAGTTAAGCAGGGTATTTCTATTATGACTTATTCTGAGACAGGATTAAATTAGTATGGCTATCTCAATGAAATAGTAGTAAGACAATGATAAGCTAAAACTTCACAGTTTTAGTATCCTTTTTATGAAGAGCCAAAATGATGCAAACCCAAGTGGACAAATTTTTTTTAGAAAGTAATACATAGTAAGATAAATAATTTTCCAATAAAAACCCAATTTAAACATATTTATCATCTTTTTTTAACTCAGTTTTGTTTTTAATTCCATGAACCAAAGAGAAATGATTGCTGAGGCTTTCACTCCAGCCTTTTCTAAAAATCAGGAGAATCTAAATATGAGAATGAACCATTTATTTTCTAATTTTAGGCCACTAACCTGATAAAGCATTTATTGTTATCTTACCTTAAAAATCAAGTTCATAGGGCCTTTGGCTGGAAAAATTACATTTTAATTCTATTATAAAGCATTTCAGATTCAACACAGAATTTCTCAATGATAATCATATTTTGGTAATGTGCCTTAGTCTAAAACAATAAAACACAAATAAAACAAAAAATACTCATATTAAAGAAAAAAATGTTATTTTTCTTTCCTTGTTTACCTAAATTCTAAAAAAAAACATGTCTAATGCCTACCTGAGCCATCAGTGGGAACCGAACTTGCATTGATTCCAGAAAGACCAAACAAAGGACACTCTCGATCTGTGTTGACATGACCCCATTTGTGACATTTAATACATCTTACATTTCGAACCTGAGAAAAGTGAATATTCTTTTGGTTACTAAAATACTAAGAATCTAACCAATGTTTGGCAGGATTCAAGTTAAATTATTCACATTTTAAAAAGATCTGTAGGAAAAGAGACTACAAAACTAAGTTTGGTAAATTTAATACAAATACTAAAATCTTACTATAAATTCTGCCCAATACCTAAGTGAATCCTATTGTTTTCTACTTCTTAATTGGTGGCAATATAACAATATCATCTTAAAATTTCTTAGTTTTAATAAGTCAAAATTAAAAGTTTCAAATTTCTAAACCAGGAGCTGGCAAAATTTTCCTGTAAAGGTTCAAATAGAACTTATTTTAAGCTTTTCAGGCCCAACCTCTGTGCCAACTGTAATGACCCAGCTCTGCTGTTGAAGTGACAGATAATACATAAATGAACAAGCAAGGAAAGGTTCCAACAACATTTTCTTTATAAGGATTCCCTCTAGTGACAGGCTGCCCTGATTCTAAACAAATGACTGTTTTAAATCTTTTCTTGGTCATGAACTAATTCTCCAAATTCTTAGAAAAGAGCAGACACCAATATCATTATAACTCCTTTTTTTAAAGTATTTATTTTTTAGTTGTAGTTGGACACAATATCTTTATCTTATTTATTTATTTTTATGTGGTGCTGAGGATTAAACCCAGGCCTCACACATGCTTGGCGAGGGCTCTACAGCTGAGCCACAACTGCAGCCCTATAACTCTCTCTTTTTTTTTTAATATTTATTTTTTTAAGTTGTAGTTGGATACAATCCCTTTATTCCATTTATTTATTTTTATGTGGTGCTGAGGATTGAACACAGGGCCCCACGCATGCTAGGCGAGCGCTCTACCGCTGAGCTACAATCCTAGCCCGCCCATAACTCTTATTAGTAATTTTGATTCCCATTTTTGGTCAGTCTACCACATTTAATGTTTTCTCCTTATTCCTACCATTGTCTGATACAAATACAAACCATATTGTTCTTTTTCAGCTTGAACACCTTTTTGATAATAATGTAGATATTCACTAAATAAAAATTATTCGTAAAGGGTAAAATACATGTCACTTGCCTGAATGCCAAAGGGCTGATCTCTGATGTTCATGTCATCTTTGGCATATCTATTAAGTAGAGAAAATGTATAAACAAAATATTAAGAATAATTTAATAAATTCAATGGTAGTTAACTTGAAAAAGTTATAGTTCTCAGAACAATATGAAATGTGTTATTACTTCAATAAGTATACGGAACTATAGTCTATTTAATATTTCAAAATAGTTATCAAATACCTAGGCTTATAGTTTGTAATTTATAAATAAAAAGAACAAGTATATAAAACAAGACTATGATAAAAGTAGATTGGTTGCATAAGAAAGTTCAATAAAAATGTTTTCATATTAGTTACTTTCTCTAATGCATATAAAGGTGATAACATAAGATGGGATTGCAGATATAGTGATATATATTGTATCTTAAAAGCAAACCAGACCGTACTTTTCTCTTGGAGCTCCTTTCTGCCATTCAAATTTGTATTCTGTCTCTCCTTCTGTTTCTTCTTTCTAAAACATTCATTAAAAAGTCTTTCAATTTTCTCCATAAAATCAAAATTAATTATAAATAAATTCAAAGAGTAAATAGTGCTTTACCTCTTTGTTTTCTTGATTGCATATCAAAAATACAGGAGGGGAAAAAGTAGGACAAGTTAAAATTATCAGTGTAAAAGTCAAATGTATATTACCACTATGATATGTTATTTGATTATAATTTGTAAGATTGTACTGGTTTGACTTCTTTCTTCTTGCATGAGATAAAAATCAAGGACGAAAGGATAAAATACAGTACTGAATTTAACAATACTGTATTTAACAAGCATGTTAATTGCTAATTGTTAATTGCTAATTTTGAAACTTTTATGCTTTTTACTGACAGTGAATATTGTATTTTATACACACAAGTATATTTAGAAGGAAAGATTAAAGATATAACCACATTATAAAAGAATAAATGCATTTCTGCTGGTGTTGAGATTTTCTTCCTCCCAAAAGGACACCTCATGAAAAATTACTAAAATAGAACAATATTTTTAATATTTATTCTACTTTATTGGTTATAATATTATTCTTTATTATCTCCTCAGAAAATCAATTTTATTTATTATTTTGTAGTACTGGGGATTGAAGCTAGGGGTGCTCTAACACTGAACTACAAACCCAGTCCTTTTTATTTAAGTGAGGGTGTTACTAAACTTGTGATCTTCCTGTCTCAGCCTCCCAGATAGGGATTATAGGTTTGCACCATTGCACCTGACATGATAACAATCTTTAAAAACAAAGAATACTTTTAAAAAGTCTGTTAGCGGGCTGGGGATGTGGCTCAAGCAGTAACGCGCTCGCATGGCATGTGCGGGGAGCTGGGTTCTATCCTCAGGACCACATAAAATAAAGATGTGTCCACCGAAAACTGAAAAATAAATACTAAAAAAAAAAAAAAAAAAATTCTCTCTTTCTCTCTCTCTTAAAAAAAAAAAAGTCTATTAGCAGTTTTCAATCTTTTTTTTTTTTTTAATTTTGATTAATTAATTTCTTTGAGATGGAGGTCACACTATGTTGTGCAGGTTGGTCCTGAACTTGCCTCTTCCTGTTTTGAGACTCCCTGGTAGCTGCTACTACAGGTTTGTGCTATCCCACCCAGCAGTTCTCAATCTGTAGTTGTAAACACATAAAATATTTTAAGGAAAGGGGGCAAGTACCTTTTTTGGCTCCTGGTGGGGCTTCATACATGAAATTAAGGCCATTCTTTACACGTTCATCTCCCATAAGCAATCTAAATGACATAAGAAATAAACTTAACAGTTTTATCCTTCCACCCCAAAAGGAACCCCAAGAGAATAAAAATAAATATTTTTTTTGTTAGAGCTCAAATTCTAAAATTTTACCCCAGTGATTAGAGGACATTTAGAATATGTGAATGGAAATCAAACAATACTGTTTCTTTAGAATATGTGAATGGAAATCAAACAATACTATTTCTTTAATAATAGGCTGTAAGTTCTGAAACTGTCTTCTTACTTGAAATATTCTGGTCCTCTCAACAAAAAAGAGGAAAAACTCTACGGTCACTCTAAAGGACTTTTCTTAAATTCTGAAATGCTGTTGAAATCCTGAAGGTCATCACAGAGTTGGAATTAAGTTAAACAGTTGGACAAGGACAAGGTTGCCAACAGTTTTTCTTAATTGTGAGGAATCAGTTTTGAAAATGAGTCTGGGTTTTCTTGAGAAAGTCAAAGCCAATTAATGCTTTTAAGAATCTAAATGAGAGACTCAAATTCTTTAGTGAGGCCAATGAAAAAAGACTCATTTTTAAAAAACTCTCCAATAAGCAACTTAATATGATAGAATCAGTGCCTGCTGTACCTCAAAAATCTTATTTTTATTGTTCCATTTTAACACTGAAAGTTTCCTGTTCAGGTTCCATTTACAAAAAGAAATGTTTGGCTTTTTATAAAAAATCCTCAGCCACAAATTGTATGTCTGAGTTAAAGTTTAATTCAAAAAATACAGGTAAAGTGCTAATTATAAAGAAGAAAGCCAACGAGGAAATAGAATTTCCTCTCATACTTGGAAAACACAATCAAAATGGATATGCTACATGATTGAGATTCTTCTCTTACTTCCATTGGATTCTATAAATAACTGTTATGGAAAAAAAAAAAGAGAAGCAAAAGAATGTAGGTACAGACATCCATACAATGGATTATTATTCAGCAACAGAAAGGAATTAGGTGCTGATACATGTCATACCATGAAACATGCTAAGAAAAAGAAATCAGTTACAAGATGCCACATGTACAGGACATGTCCAGAATAGGCAAATTTATAGAGATAGTAGACTTGCAATTACTTAGGGCTGAGAGGTAGAAGAAGGACAAGGTTGGGAAATTGGAAGTAATTGCTAATAGGTATAAGATTTCTTTTTCGGAGATGAAACGTTCTGAAATTAGATTATGGTGATGACGCCAAAACTCTTAATATACTTAGAAGTCAACATGTCTTTACACAAGTATGTAAATTTTGTATTATATTAACACCATTAAAAAATGAAGATTAAGGGCTGGGTTGTGGCTTAGCAGTAGAGCAATTGCCTAGCACGTGCGAGGCCCTGGGTTTGATCTTCGGCACCACATCAAAATAAATAAAATAAAGGTACTGCATCCAACTACAACTAAAAAATATTTTTTAAAAAATGAAAGTTAAAAAGCTCAGCATCACTAAATATTATGGAAATGTAAATCCAAAACTGCAATGAGATACTACTTCATACTTACTAGGATGGTTACTGCTGAACACAAAAAACCAAAAAAAAAAAAAGTTAAATAGAGCAGTTCAGCAAGGGAAATTATTAAAAGTATGGAGAGAGAGCTACAGAATGGGAGAAAATCTTGACCAGTGACTTCTCCAATAGGGGGTTAACATACAGAATATATAAAGAATTCAACTTAATACCCCCCCCCAAAACAAAACAAAACAAAAAAACACAACAAAAACTCAAACCAACTAACTCAATCAATAAATGGGCCAAAGAACTAACCAGAAACTTCTGAAAAAAGAAACAAAAATGGTCAAAAAAATCTATGAAAAAATGTTTAACATCTCTATCAATCAGGGAAACGCAAATCAAAACTACACCAAGATTTCATCTTATTCCAGTCAGAACGGCAGCGATCAAGAACACAAACAGTAAATGCTGGCAAGGAAAAAGTACACTTGTACATTTTTGTGGAACTGTAGACTAGTACAACTACTCAGGAAAGCAGTATGGAGATTTCTTACAAAACTAGGGATAACCTAGCTATCTCATTCCTTGGTATTTTCCTAAAAGATCTAAAATTGGCATACTACAGCAATAAAGTCACCTCCATGTTTATAGCAGAGCAATTCACAATAACTAAATTATGAAATCAACCCAGGTGCCCACCAATAAATGATGGATTAAGAAATTGTGGCCGGGAGGGGCTGGGGTTGTGGCTCAGAGGTAGAGCGCTCGCCTAGCATGAGTGAGGCTCTGGGTTCTATCCTCAGCATCACATAAATATAAAATAGATATTGTGTCCACCTATAACTAAAAAATAAATTAAAAAACAAAAACAGTGGTACATGCCTGAAATCCCAGTGGCTTGGGAGGCTGGGGCAGGAGGATCATGAGTTCAAAGCCAGCCTCAGCAAAAGTGAGGCGCTCAGCAACTCAATGAGACCCTGTCTCTAAATAAAATACAAAATAGGACTGGGGATGTGGTTCAGTGGTTGAGTGCCCCTGAGTTCAACTCCTGATACCAAACAAACAAAAATCAACAGGGAACTTCACCATTATGCATAAGTAAAAAGAACTGATCAAATATAAATAAATAAGCAAATGGAAGTATAGTAGAGGAAGGAGAATGGGAGAGAGGAAGGAAATGGGAGGAAAAAGTGGGGATCATGACCTGAATTAAAATTTCATGCATGTATGAGTTTGTTGGGATGAGCCCCCCAACTACTATATATAACTATAAAGTTCTAATAAAAATAAAAGATAGCACAGTCACTATTGAAAAGAATTTTGGTGATTCCTTAAAAAGCTAAACATAGAATTATATGATCCAGTGATTCCATTCCTAAAAATATATTTATTATTTTTTTAATTTTAATTTTTTTTGTGTGTGTTTTTTTTTTTTAATTTTTTATTGTTGGCTGTTCAAAACATTACATAGTTCTTGATATATCATATTTCACACTTTGATTCAAGTGGGTTATGAGCTCCCATTTTTACCCCATATACAGATTGCAGAATCACATCAGTTACACATCCATTGATTTACATATTGCCATACTAGTGTCTGTTGTGTTCTGCTGCCTTTCCTATCCTCTACTATCCCCCCTCCCCTCCCCTCCCCTCCCCTCTTCTCTCTCTGCCCCCTCTACTGACATTCATTTGTCCCCCTTGTATTATTTTTCCCCTTCCCCTCACTTCCTCTTGTATGTACTTTTGTATAACTCTGAGGGTCTCCCTCCATTTCCATGCAATTTCCCTTCTCTCTCCCTTTCCCTCCCACCTCTCATCCCTGTTTAATGTTAATCTTCTCATGCTCTTCGACCCTACTCTGTTCTTAGTTACTCTCCTTATATCAAAGAAGACATTTGGCATTTGTTTTTTAGGGACTGGCTAGCTTCACTTAGCATAATCTGCTCTAATGCCATCCATTTCCCTGTAAATTCTATGATTTTGTCATTTTTTAATGCAGAGTAATACTCCATTGTGTATAAATGCCACATTTTTTTTATCCATTCATCTATTGAAGGGCATCTAGGTTGGTTCCACAGTCTTGCTATTGTGAATTGTGCTGCTATGAACATCGATGTAGCAGTGTCCCTGTAGCATGCTCTTTTTAGGTCTTTAGGGAATAGACCAAGAAGGGGAATAGCTGGGTCAAATGGTGGCTCCATTCCCAGCTTTCCAAGAAATCTCCATACTGCTTTCCAAATTGGCTGCACCAATTTGCAGTCCCACCAGCAATGTACAAGTGTACCCTTTTCCCCATATCCTCGCCAGCACTTGTTGTTGTTTGACTTCATAATGGCTGCCAATCTAACTGGAGTGAGATGGTATCTTAGGGTGGTTTTGATTTGCATTTCTCTGACTGCTAGAGATGGTGAGCATTTTTTCATGTACTTGTTGATTGATTGTATGTCCTCCTCTGTTAATTTTTTTTTAATATTTGTTTTTTAGGTGTAGATGGACATAACACAATGCCTTTATTTTTATGTGGTGCTGAGGATCAAACCTGGGTCCCACCCGTGCTAGGCGAGCACTCTATCGGTGAGCCACAAACCCAGCCCCACCTAAAAATATATTTAAAGAAATTGAAAACAGGAACTTGAACAGTTACCTCTATGTCAAGATTTACAGCATTATTCACAACAGCTCAAAAGTATAAGCAACCCCAATGCCCATAAACAGAGGAGTGTTCTACAGTTTACTTGATTTTCATTGATTGGTTTACTTATATTTATTATTTATTTATTTATATTTTTGTACAGGGGATTGAACCCAGGGGCACTCAACTACTGAGCCACAACCCTATCCCTTTTTTATATTTTATTTACAGCCAGGGTCTCAATGAGTTGCTTGGAGCCTTGTTAAGGTGCTGAGGCTGGCTTTCAACTCCAATCCTCCTGCCTCAGCCTCCTGAGCTGCTAGGAATACACTGTGCTTTGTTTATTAAATCTATTTTTGTGACAGTGGTCTCACTATTTTCCAAGGCTGGTCTCAAACTCCTGGGCTCAAGCAAATCTCTTGCCACAACCTCTGAAGTAGCTACCACACCCAGCTTTGCTCAGAAACTATATGAGTCGTATGAAAATACATTTTACGTGAATTATGGGTAAAGTCAAATTAAGTGGCCATCTATGAGAGTAAAGGGATTAGTCTCCTGTAATTGATTATTCTAAAAACAATGGCAGAGAGGCATATCTCACCTATTATCATATGACTCTTGTTCTTTAAGGTACTGTTGCATTAATTCTTCTTGTTTCTTCTTATCATATGATATTTTCTGTTCTGCCATCCATACCTAAATGAATAAAGTAAAAAAGTAAATTAAATAGTTGGATTTAAGTTAAGTAGCAAGTTTGTTTTTTTCATAATTAAATATAAAATGGCATTGTTTATGGCAGTCCAACTTAGTAATAATGACATCATCACAAAATAATATCTAAAAATATGATTTGTATCTTGATATAAATCCTAAAATTCAACCATTCAACATAGCTATACTTTCACACAAACATGAGAACTGCTTTCAGTATGTGTGGTACAACAGCACCTTGTACCCGGTCCCTGCGTTATTTCAGAGAGCAAAAAAAAGCATTTCTTTACATAGAATATGTCTAACATAGATAACCCATTAGTATAGGACATAAGAAGTAGTGTTATGCAGTGGCCACTAATGCTACTGGGTGTCACCAATACCCTAAGAGAGGAGAACTGGAGAAAGAGAAAAAAGGGAAAGGAAATGAAATTGTAGGAAAAAAAGGAAGAGACAAGAAAAGAAACAAAGAGATAAGACAGGGGCTAGGGGCTTAGTTTAGTGGTAGAGTGCTTGCCCAACATGATGGAGGCCCTAGGTTCAATCCTCAGCACAAAACAAAACAAAAACCAAAGAAATAAGACAGAAGTGCTCAGGAGCATGAACACCTTAGGGTAAAGGTGTCGGTGTGAAATTCTCAACACCATAAAAATAGTAAAGAGAATGAGACATAGATTAGAATGCTTTACAAGCATAGAACGCTTTATAAGTTTTGGTTATTTATTTTTTAGTTTTGGTTATTAAGTTATTTTTTATCAAGTAATTGTATTCACAGGTAGCTAGTGTTATCCATTTATTGCATATCCTGCCAAAGATTCTTTTTAAATTTTTTAAAAGTTGTAGATGGACACAATATATTATTTGACTTATTTATTTTTATGTGCTGTTGAGGATTGAACCCAGTGCCTCACATGTGCTGGGCAAGTGCTCTACCATTGAGCTACAACCCCAACCCTTGCAAAAGATTTTTTTTTTTGGCACCAGGGATTGAACCCAAGGGTCTTATCTACCAAGCCACACACCCTCAGCCCTTTAAAAATTTTATTTAGAGACAGGGTCTCACTATGTTGCTTAGGGCCTCACTAAGTTGCTGATGCTGGTTTTGAACTTGTGATCCTCCTGCCTCAGTCTCCCAAGCACTGATATTACAGGTGTGCACTATTATGCTCTGTTCTGCCAAAGATTTTCTAATGCACATATATGCATTAGTATATAAAACATAATTCTATTTACATGGTGGTAACATACTTTACATATATATGTACATATTCACATGGCTATATAAAACTCAAAAACATAAAACAAGCTATATATAAAATTAAAAGCCTAGTTCATTTCACAAGTTTGTGTGTATAGTCAATTAACAGTTTTAGTATCCCCTGTATGTGATGCACACAGTACTAAGCACTCACTTTGTTTCAAATCCTCTACCCACACTATCTCATTTTTTCCCCCTAAAGGCCCAGATAGAGATTTAGGAAAGTAGATACACATTCAAGGAAGAATGCAGGGTATAAAGAAAAGGATAGAAGTTCAATGGTATGAGGTGTTAATATTTATGGAGGACAGTCCTAGGGGCTGGATGAGATCACCATCTCATTTACTCTTCACAACTTTACAAGTCAAAGCAAGTGATACTGATCATCCTCAATTTGTAGATTAAGAAATTTTGGATCAGGGATATTAACTATTTTGTGTGGCAATGCCTGTAATTCAGGGACTGCAGGAGGATTGCTAAGTTTAAGGTTAGTGTCAGCAACTTGTAGAGAGAGACCCTTAGCAACTTAGCAGAACTTGTCTCAAAATAAAAAATGGTTGGGATGTAGCCCATTGGTTCAATCCCCAGTACCAATAAACAAATAAATATATAAATATTTTATGCAAGGTCTAATACCGACTATGCTGGAATGGTCAGAATCCTCGTCTGCCTCCAAAGCTCTGACTTTTTACTTCATCCTTTTGCTTTTCACCACAATCATTTTCGCTATGGTTTTTCTGCCCTGAGCTTAGCTGAACTGTAATTAATTAATTAATTTTTTTTTGAGAGAAAGAGAGAGAGAATTTTAATATTTATTTTTTAGTTTTCGGCTGACACAACATCTTTGTTTGTCTGTGGTGCTGAGGATCGAACCCGGGCTGCACGCATGCCAGGCGAGCGCGCTACCGCTTGAGCCACATCCCCAGCCCTAATTAATTATTTTTTTAAAAATATTTTTTTAAGATGTTGATGGACCTTGATTTTATTCATTTATTTATATGCGGTGCTGAGAATTGAACCCAGTGCCTCACACATGCTAAGCAAGTCCTCTACCACTGAGCCACAACTCCAGCCTCTAATAAATTAATTTTGCCTTATTTATTTTTGGTGCCAGTGATTGAGTCCAGATGTACTCTATCACTAAGCTACATCCTCAACCCTTTCTTCTTCTTTTTTTTTAATTTTGAGACAGGGTCTCGAGAAGTTGCTGAGGATCTCGCTAAATTGCAAAGGCTGGCCGCCAACTTGAAATCCTCCTGAGTGCGTCACCGCCCCGACTGTAATTAATTATTTAAAACGCTAATATTCAATGAGGCCATCAGGTGAGCTGAAGAGAGGAAGCAAGGGGTGATTTCTTTTATACGATCTATCTTAAATAAACAGTCGTCTCTGTAGAGGAGAGAACTAAGGAGCCGTGAACCTCGGATTCGAAAAGACCAAACCCGAACCAGTTAAGGCAAGTATTGAGCAACTGTGAGCGCAGGCTCCACGTTTTATGGATTTACACTTTGACCGACAGAGCCAACGAGGGCCTCCCAACTCGTCCTGGATGTAGAACAAACGTAGAGCGCCTGCTTCATCAGTGAGGGAAAGGGCGGCGAGAGCACCTGGGCTTTTGGCCTGGAGAGGAGGTGATACCCCGGCATCCCAGTGACATCACCACTCTCACCTCAGCAGCCCTTGGGAACCCAGTGGCCGTAAGCCAGATCCCTTTGGGTATCCTCTACTCACCTTTTTGATATTGGATTTGGAGGCAGGATGAAAGTCCTTTTTGCACATGAAGTTGGCGAAGGATTTCCCCATCTTGGCATCCGAGCTGAGGAAGGCAACCGACCCGTCAGCGAGCAACGTAAACAAACTCTGCCGCCTAACCGGAACTGCGCCTCCAGCAGACGCGGGAACTTCCTAGGTCAAAGGTGACAGCTTCCGTCAACAGGCGCCTCCTCCCGCTACTTTCAGCTGTCACTTCAGGAAGCGCAGAGGCCAGGTGAGGGGCTTGCTAGAGGGAGGAACGTGCGCAGCGGAGGCCAGAGCCCTGGACTAGCTGCGGCGCAGCGCTGCCTGACCGCGGGACTCGCGGCCACAGCGGTTTGATCGTCTCATGCAGTGTATGGGGTCCGCGGTGACGGCTCTTTCTACCAGCTGTCAGATGTTCGAGCCCATTGCTTTCGTTGAACGCTGACGCGAGTTGCAAAAACTTTTCTGCACCGGGTTTCTCACCTGTCTTGTGGAGAGAGTAATTCTCGCTTTAACTGGAGTACGATTGTGAGGTTCAAACGATGTGATGATACTTTTTGAAAGCTATAAAATAGAATGTCAGCTCTACAAGAGCGGGAGCCCTTTTTGTTTCTAGTTATTTCCAGCTGTACGTTCCTGGTGCAGAAAGATGTTCAGCAAACGTTTGTTGAGTGATAAATGGCGTGAGAGTCCAAGTTTCATGTCCTCATGGGCCAAGTACCATTCTAACTAGGCAGCAATTGTACCTAGCTTCCCTGACGACCCCTCTTGGATGGTTGAGATCTCCTAGTGCAGCTTGATGGACGTCAGGACTCCAGGGTTTTGAGTAGATGTGGCAGCTATTATTATAGAGCACACATCAACCAAGTCCTCTAGCGGGGTTTAGACTAAACTGTTTGTGTACTTTACTCTTCTGCCAGATAATAACAGCTTTCATTTGAGGATCTACTATGTTTCATGTTAAGCAAAACGCTTAACATGTCTAATTGAAATCCCCGTAATAGCTCTGTTTAATCTTTTATTCTACTATTGAGCCTGCAAGCATAGAACAATTAAATAGCTTGCCAAAGTTATGTAGTGGTGGAACCAACTTTGGAACACAAATAGAAGGAGATGCAAGACAGAAAAGTTGAAATACTCAAAGGAAAGAACAATAAGGATAGTGACCTCTTTCTCATCATTGAGAAGAGAAAAACTTCAGGAGTTTGGGCATTATAAAATAAAAAGCTAAAACAATGTGTCTATTCTGAAAGCAAAATAATGTATAGAATACTTAAGTATACTACTAAAATTGATGATTTAAATTTTTCAAATTTCTAGTGAAGACAATCTACATATGAAATTCTACAATCAGGATTTACAAATTATATTTGTGAACTTCCACCATGAAATATTGACAATTGGAATTTCATTGACATTTTTTATATTTGAAGTAGTGAATGTGTTTCAAAATTTCTGTCTTTTTAATATTATAATCTGTGCATATTCTTCCTTAGGTCAAAGGAAACCTTTTCTTTCTTATTTCGAGAAAATACTGAAAACGTTTTTTTTTTTTTCCCCTGTAAGTTTCAATGATAACAATACAAAGATAATTAAGGCATACTCTTACCTCTTAAGGATTTTATTGCCAATAAGAGGACTGGTGCACAAATATATAGAATATAGCCTTTATAACAGTAGGCTAGGTGTAGAGATTCCCAAATATAGGAATAGTGAAAAGAAATTCAGGGGAGACTTTAGGAGAGAAAGGTTTTAGAGAATAAATTTGACTCATCAACTAGAAGAAAGTAGTTCACATTGCTATTTTCTTGTTGATTCTTGTAGTTCATGGTTGATTCTTAAGTCATATTGATTATTGTATTATAGTATATGATATTTAAAGCTTTAATGAACACCCTTCATTAGACATGGTAATAATATCCCTTGGCCAGAGAGTAGGAGTATTTGTTTTGTATATACTTAAAAATGTTTTCTCTTGTTATTTAAAAACTTCTATGTGATTTTGTAGTTGTTTAGAAAATGGAGCCCTATTCCTGTGATACATTTGTGGCATTACCCCCAGCAACAATTGATAAGAGGATTATTTTTGGAAAAAATTCAGACAGACTCTGTGATGAAGTACAAGAGGTAGTTTATTTTCCTGCTGCAGTTCATGATAGCAGAGAACCTCTTAAGGTAGGTGAAATATATGTTTTTATTTTCTAGATATTCAAAACTTTATTTTTAAAAATTGCCTTCATTCCAAGTCTAAATCTGGGAAGCACCTTCACCTCACAAAGAGTGCATAAATATGTACAACAGAGGAAACTCATTTTTTAAAAATATTTGTATTTTAAAAAAAAATTTTTTAGTTGTAGATAGACACAATACCTTTATTTATGTATTTTTTCAACGTGGTGCTGAGAATTGAACCCAGTGCCTCACACATTCTAGGTAAGTGCTCAGCCACTGAGCCACAACCCCAGCCCAGAAACTCATTTTTAAAAGAATGTCATTAAAAAAGTAAAAGGTAACACCCATAGATATTAGTCCATCTTCTAAGAGGCAGTGCAGTCCTCACATCGCCAGAGTACCAAGGTTGTCTTAAACACCAGAATCTATAGCTTAATTTCTCCACTTAATACCAAGCAATAAAAATTAGACAGTCCACCAAGGGAAAAACTGCTTCTGTCTGACACTCTTAGAAGGGTCCCCAACTTTCTATTTGAGATGATGTTGAATTTTTGTTTCCCACTGGCCCTTGGATTGTTTCTCCAGATGTAGCACTATTATTCCGTAACTCTTTTTACACAACAGTGAATGAAAACTTCCTTTGAACAGAGCATGATGTTAGGTGTAACCTCTAATATTTAAAAACACTGGTTTATATGTGACAACTTTCAGTGAGAATATCCCATGGGTGTTCATATTTCTTGATGCCACAGAAGGTGAGTATAAATGAATTTTAAGAAGTCAGGCATCACTCTGCTTACAAGACAACCAGTTCCTATATGAGTTCTGGGGTGGCATGTTATTCACAAAAGGCATTTGTCTAATTCTGACCAGGAGCCAGAATTTAGAATAGTTTACAGACAAATCACTAAGGCCATGAATTGACACAAAAAAACAGGCAGAGCCCTCTAGCATGTCAGAGATATTCATTGCTTCAAATTGCAAACCAAAGTATCCCAGAAAACAGGAAATCTGAAATACATGTTTTGTTAGCAATATGCTACTTTTAAAATATCATAAAACAGTTATTACTATCATTAACTAGCAATTTGGAAGAGATAATAGAAGTTAAAATTCAAGAATTCAAATATGAAAAATAATTGAATTAGAAATAGGCTTCTGGTTTTTATTTCAATGATTTGGAAGAAATTGAAATAACTAATGAAAATTATTCTTTGATCAAATATTAGAATACTTTTCACATGTAAGCATGTTAGAGCAAGGAGTTTAAAGTCAGCTGTAAGAGTCAGATGTTGTCTGATGGGAACTTAGAGTCTACAGTTGGAATAGGAGGTATATGCAACTAACTCCACTATAAATTAAATGATAATTTTAAGTAGGAGCAACATATTGCAGCATAGGAGAAACATGTAATTCAGACTAGGGATCAAGGAAAGCTTCAATAGGAAGTTTGTTAGACAAAAAAGATTTTGATTGGTGTAGAATAAGAAAAGTTAATCCAGATTCTGGATAAAGGTTTATGATTCATTAAAAGGTTTATTGAGCCCTGCAATAGCACTAACAACATGCATTTTATTCAGTCACTTGATAGTATACAAATGAATTGAAGGATCCTTTAAAATTTTTATTTAAGAAATAATTTACTATGGAACTTTAAAGTGAAAGTTTCACTTTATATTTTATTGCTAAGTTATGTATTTTTTGTATTTTAATTCTGTGACATTCTAACACTCAGATATATTAGACATTTTCTATATATTAGGCTATATATTTTTTCTTTTTCTGAAACTGTTTATTCATCTGGGATACCAGTTCCACTTTATCTCTATATTTAAATATGGCTATCTTGTAAACCAGTGGTTCTCATTCTTTCCACTGCTGCAGACATACCTGATGGGCTTCTTCCACAAGTGATATAGACTTCTATGATAATACTCCTGTATTTAGGGGTTACCATATGTGTGCCTAATTAGGAAACACTGGACATTGAGGTTGAGAATTCATTTCTTTTTCATATTTTATTTTTTAGTTGTAGATGGACACAATATCTTTATTTTATTTTTATGTGGTGCTGAGGATCAAACCCAGGGCCTCACACGCAGGGCCTCGCACGTGCTAGGCGAGTGATCTTCTGCTGAACCACAACCACAGCTGGAGAATTCCTTTCTTAATCATCAATTCCTATACATCTTCCTTTGCAAAAAATGTTCAAGATTTTACAACTAGAATTCTTTCCTGAGCTTCTGTAGTGCCTCATGTTCACTTCTCTTCATGACCCTTGTACTTTATATTTTGTTGTGTCTTAATGTAGAAGTCTTAGTTTGTTAGAAGTAAGCTTTGTATTGATTAAGTCTTTATAACTAAGATCTCTTTTAGCAGAGTACTTTATGGTAGGAGATACTCAGCCATTATTTGGATGAATAAATGATTTAGCATTAATTCTGAATATTTTAAGAGTAATGCCTTTATTACTAAAAGTTTCAATTTAGTTATATTTCATTGACCTCTTTGATAATGGTGTATCTTTTGAATGATTTTTGAAATTCTAGATTTTGATAACTTTTTTTGGTTTTGTGGTTATGGATATGACTTTTTTTTTTAACAGTGTACTTATATAGAAATTGATCAAGTTTCAGAAACATATGCTGTTGTCCTTAGTCGCCCTGCTTGGTTGTGGGGGGCAGAAATGGGAGCCAATGAGCATGGAGTTTGCATTGGGAATGAAGCTGTATGGGGAAGAGAAGAAGTTTGTGATGAAGAAGCACTACTGGGCATGGACCTTGTCAGGTTATTTGTGTGTTATATTTTTTCATTATAGAACTTGTCTAATTGTTAAATCTTGGTATAATTCTTACCTATTTTATTTTTCAATTTTTATTTTTTTGGACTTTGATACTTTATAGTATCAAAGATAAAAATGTTTTAGAGTTTCAGCATGCAATTTCATGGCTAT